TCACCACCTGCAGACCCGGCCACCCGCCCACCATCCTCGATTCACTTCACCGCGCGTATTCCTTCTCACCCCCCCCCCACCCAACCGACCCACCCACCCTGCCTCGCCAGCTGCTCATCCGGGTCCACCGCATACGCCAGCATCAGGCTCATCTGCGGCGCCAGCGGCACATCCCCCTGCGCCGCCTCCGGACCCGACAACAGCCCCACCGGCAGCACCAGGTCCCGATCGTCCGGGTGGAAGAACAGAACACCACCACCATCAGCTGCCGCGGAAGAGGCGGAGCCCGAGGCGGGGCCGGAGTCGGCGTCCGCGGCGGGCGACGACGGAGAGGCGTCCTGCCCCTGCCCCTGCCCCTGCCCCTGGGTGGCGGGAGGCTGGGTCGCGGGGGCGGGGGCCTTGCAGCGGTCGAGCAGCAAGGCCACGAGCTCGGGGCGGTAGAGCAGGACCGTCATGTTGGCCCGCAGCCAGCAAGCTGAGGGAAGAGGGAGGAACGGGAGGAAGGGCAGGGAGGTGAAAAAACGCTCCGGCAGGGCAGGGCGGGGCAGAGCAGGGCAGGACGGGTCGGGTCGGGGCGGAGTAATAAAGAAGAGACCGCAGGGCAGGGCAGAGCAGGGCAGGGTACCCCTCCTCCGCACCCCCTGCAGGTGAGTCATCCTTTGGGCGGGTCGTGCCGTTTCTAGGCGCTCGCGCCGTTGCTGATGTCGCGCGTGTTTGTCCGCCTGGGCCGATCCAACGGCGAGGCGGTCCCGGTTCCGCCCGGTATTGGTAAAGCTTCAAGCAAGCTTGGCAAGTGCTGCTGGGCCCATTCGCCAACATCACCTCGACGCTTTCGCTGCGGTTCGCATTCCTTCCTCCCCGCCCAACGCGCGCCCAGTTGCCGGTCCCCGCCCACCCCGCCTTCACCAACCACCCGGTCTCCGCCCACCCGACCACCCGAGAGCCTCACCCACAGCCTCCCGGTGCTGCTGTCCCAGCGCCGGGTGCTCCAGCAGCGCCCGCAGCACCAGCCCCATGCTGACGGTGTGCTGCCGCTCCTCGCTGTGGCGCCATGCGGGGTCCAGCCAGCTGTCCGTGAGGGCGCGCAGCAGCAGGCAGCGGGAGGCGGGCAGCGAGGGCAGCAGCTGCTGCGGGAAGTGCCTGCGGTGCGGAGGGGGAGAGGGGAGAGGGGGTGGCGGGCGGCGGGCGAGGCGGGGCGTGGGGGGAAGTGGGCGTGGGGCGAAGGACGGGGAGGTGTACAGCGGGCGCACGGCGTGCGGCGGGCTATTGCACGGGACGCAGAGCGCTGTTGCGGTAAATAGCGGCAGAGGTAAGGGCGGTAAATAGCGGCAGAGGGGGGGCCCAAGGGACGCAGCTGGCGGCGTGAAAATGTCGGGGGGGAAATGGGTCGAGCTGGGAAGGTACAAAAGAAGCAAAGGAAAGCCATGAAGCCCCAAATGTAAGGTAGTCTAACCGGGAGGAGGATGGCAGGCCGTCGACTGTGCTGAAAGGAGGAGGGGAATGGAAGGGGGGCGACCTGCGCGCAAGCCGGTTCGAGGGCGGGACTGCGGGCCTGCGGCCCCTCCCTGTTCACTTGCACGAGCGTCAAAAATTGCCGGCACGGGCACACGCGATCCCACGCCCTTCCCCACGCGCTCTCCCTCCCGACCCAAATCCCCAAACCCATTTTTCCGCAAGCCCCCGAGAACCCGGACCTCCGAATTCATGTGTAAACCCCAAAACCCGCGAGCGCTCGACAACTCCCCTCCCTCACCGCCAGAGACAGTCCAGCAGCTTGTGGCCGCATGGGTGTCGTACAGCCGTCGCCACGAACTCGTACATTGCCCGCTCGTCCAGCTCCCCATCGACCAGCTGGAAGGCGCCGTACTGGATCAACAGATCTGGGCCCCGGGGCGATTTGATAAGGGGCGGGAATACCGTAGGTGGTCCGGCGATTGCAGCCCATCAGCCACTGGTAAGGTTACATGCATGTCTGGTGAGTATCTGGGTCCGTTTGCCATGGGCGCCTCAGTTCCCTCGCTGCGGTCCTTCCCCACTTCCCGCTCCCACTTCTAGTTTGAAAACAGCGAGCCGCAGGCCGACCCGCTCCCACCCCCGGCCGCACTCACCCACGCCCTCCACCTTGCGCGGGCTGGTCCAGTCCGACAGGTCAAGGACCTTGGAGGTGACGTGGATCGGCGTGTCGTTGCGCGCGGAGCGGACGCACGAATTGAAGGTGGAGCAGCGGTGCTGCCGCAGCACCTGCGGAGTCCAGGGGAGGGCCGGATGAGGGGCGAGTGAGGAGTAGAGGAGAACAGTCCGAACAGGCAAGGATGAGGGGGGCAGGGGCGGGTGACGAGGAGGAGGACGAGATTAGACCGAGTAGGCAAAGATGAGGGGGGAGGCGGAGGCGGAGGAGGCGGGGGAGGATCCAGCGGCGGAGAGGTACTGTATGGGGTGAGTAGTGAGCGCTCATGTGAGCTGGATACCGGTATTGGTGAGTGGGCTAGAGTTGACGTGCGGATCATGGGGAAAGGCGCTGGGAAGCCGATGCCCAAGGCCGTTATCTGGCATCTCCCGCGCGCGCAGGCCGTGGTGGCTCCCCGCAATACCGCTCGCTTCGGCTGTCGGCTGCGGGCGCCAGCTGGGACTAGCGGCGGCGGCGGCGCGGCAGCAACCAGTCACATGAGCTACAGGCCTACAGCACTCGCCGTAGCCATATTAGCCGCCGCCGCAAGAACCGCCGCAGCCATCGCAGCGATTGGAGCGGATTCCGCGGCGAAAGAGGATGCATGTACTGGTCGTAAGGCGTTCCGGAGCCGCCATGCAGTTCTGTTGTAACCCCTCCATCCCTTAAAAAAGCATCGTGGACGGGCCGGGGCACATACTCGTCCCCTTCCCCCGAGTGGTGACGTGGAACCTCACGTGTACACACTCCCGGCGTCCCGGGGTCTTGGGTCGGCAGCACCGCCGGGGCGCCCCAGCTGCCCTGGTCCCCAACCCAGATGCCCTAACCTCCCCTAACGTCCCGTCCCCCGTAACCCACCACCCACAACATCCCCTTCCGAACCCCGCTGGCCCCGAACCACACAGGGCCTAACGCAGCCGCGCCTGCTCCCATCCTGGCCGACTCCCCGTGGAAGCCTCACGGACGGACGGACCCTCCGGAACTGACGGACCTGGAAGAGCGCCCGCTGCTCCTCGACCGTGACCTTAGCGCACAGCACCGCCAAGGGTGCCGGAAGACCGCAGTCGGTGGCAGCATTTGGAGAGGCGCCCAGCCGGATGAGCAGGTCAAGTACCGGGGCAGGGACGCCGTTGAAGCAGGCAAAGACGAGCAGCGGGACGAGCGGCTTCCGGTCCTTCAGCACCCAGGTGGTGTTGTCGAAGCAGCTGGTGTTGGTGACGAAGCCGTTGGGGTCCAAACCGGACTTTACCAGCGTTCTAATTTTGCCGAGGTTCTGAGAGTGCAGCAGGCGCAGGAGATCCTCGGCGGGAACATCCTTTTTGCCTCCCGATGGCACCTTCTTGCGGCCCATAGGCAATAAAGTCTTTCCTTTTGAAGTTGTGACTTCAGTTCATACGTCCATGAGCGTAGACGGGCAGCTGCCGTCGCGGGGTTTCGCTTTCGGCAAGCGGCCTTTCACAGTGCTTCAGCTACTTCTCTTATGCAGAACTTGTATATATTCTGTCAACTTTCACGTACTTTGATCACGGTGTAATCGAGCTTCGTAGTTCTCGTAGAAAAAAGACTGCATTTCGTCGAGCATCCGCGTATCACCTAAATCTTACCGTTACGTAGGCTAGGTATTACGCTGCATTCTTCAATATAGGTCTAACAACGATTACAACGAAACAGGCTGAAGTACGGACGTGTTGAAGTACCAACCGTTAGCACGCAGCACAATCCGTTAGGACCGCGGCACCAATAGACAGCACCAAGGTAAATCGATACGACGTCGGCGTCCTCCAGAGAAATGGGGAACCGGCTGAGTTAACGGGGAGTTTCCGCACTGCGGTGTCGAAAGTTACAACTTGGGAGCTACAGGTGCTTCGGGGGAAGCGCACAAGCACATTCGGCCGATGCCTCGATGACAGCTTTGACTAAACGCTGCATGCATAATTTAATTACCGTGCCGGGATCCTTCAAATGTATTCCGGTTGTCCAATACCTCGGCCACCTTCACAGATGCCCCAGGCAGTCGCCTCAGCAGCACCTTTTGCTGGTCATCACAAAATGGCCATCACCTCACTCCATGTACCACCCTTCCCGCTGCAAACGCGAAACGTCGAAAGTCGGGAACCTGTCCACGTCAACCCACATCAGATCACGACGGCGGACATTGAGGGAACTGCTGCCGAGATGAAGACCGGAGCTCGCTCAGTGCTCACGACTATACGCGTTCAGAGTTCGCTTAATGAGCGACCCAACGATCCGGCAACAACGGAACGCATCAGGTCTTAACGCCGCGAGACCTGGTGAACTTGCACCCGGCCCACGGGTCGGCACTGTCATGCCAGCGAGGCCGCCAACCCCCGCCCCCGTATGTGGCGGCATGGACGCAAGCACGCCGGAGGGTGCACATTGCGTGATCCCGGTGGCAGTCAGTAGCGAGCACCCGCCGCCTCTCGCCACAACGGCATTTGCAATGCACCTGGTCCCACAAGGCCGGCCATCACTCGTGTCGTCGTGTTGTGGGCTGACGCTGCCCTGTCCCATTAGTCCTCCCCTTTTTTCTCCAGGCCTATTAAAGTCGCGCGCCGCATACCTCTGCAATTACCAAAGGTGCCAACTGCACAGCTGATACCATCGTCATACGTGCGCCAGGAGCAATGCAGGAGCAAGTCCCATCAAGCCCCCTCCTGCTCCACTGCATCAGACCTCACGCGTGCCCCTCTTCCTACAAGGGCGGCACCGTCCCATCGCCGTTCGCTCTGAGGAGGGCCACACAGCCAAAGGAATGGGTATACCATATGTACAGCTAAATTCCAGCATCGCCATGAATGTGCATGGTGCAAAACGCGGCCGACAGGATTCGAACCTGCGCGGGAGAACCCAGTGGATATCATGATCGTTTCAAGTCCACCTCCTTAACCACTCGGACACAGCCGCATGAATCCGCTGTGAATCAATTAATAGATATAGTTGATGAAAGTACATCCATCGCAGAACCGTCCGTCTGCGTGGTCCGTCTTCGCGCCTGCGACCTATCAACACCCTCGCCGCCCCCCGCCCCCGACAACCCCCAGGCCCCGGACACTTTCTGCGTGCGAGTCACATGCCCGTCCCTCGCTCGCATCCCCGTGGGTAACCCGCCTAGACCGCCTTGACCGCAACACAGCCTCTTCAGCCTCTTCAAAAATACATCGCAAGCATCCATGAAGCAAACCCGGAAGGGGCCCGACCCACAGTGTCCTCCCTCACACAACGTCGCGTGCCACCACCGCCCGGACCACCAGCTCGCGTAGAGCCGCATAGCCGCCCCCCGCCCGGTAGACTGCCTCGATGTCCCCCTGGCAGCAGGGTGGCAGCAGGGTGGCAGATCGAAAGGAGAGGAGAGGAAGTGACACGGAAGGGGAGGGAAATGGCGCGTGAGCCCGTGGGCCCCTTTGGGCGGGAAAAGACAGTCTGTTGCAGCAAGAGCTGGAATCGTGGTGCGACAAAAAACAAAAATATGTTTTGTGTACAAATGTGCAATTACGTGCATAAGAGAAACTAGCATTGCCCTTGGTCCTGCGCGATTAGCTACTGCGGACATCGTATGCGGCGCCCCAGCTGCCATGCCCTACACTACATGCGGGTCGTGCAAAATGCAATTTATATTATCCGCTGCGTTATTATGATGACAGGCAGGTATAGGTACCGGTATATAAAGTAACCAGCGGAAAGCCGGGCTTGGGCCGACTAGCAGGATGCCTTCCCATGCCGACCTAGCCGCTAGCCCCCACCTTGTAGCCTGCCTGCTCCATGGCCTCCAGCTCTCCCACCCAGCCCGGCTCCCGCACCGCCAGTCGCTCCCTCAGGCTGCGCGCCAGCACCCGGTCCCTGCCCGTCAGCGGCTGCAGGTGCTGCCCCTCCACTTCAGCCAGTTGGCCGCTGCGGAGGCCCAGCCAGCGAAGACCCGGCAGCGGGTGGCTGCAGTGCGCAGGAGAAGAACGGGGGTATACGGAAAATTTCGCAGCAGGAAGAAGGGGGGCAATGGAGGACAGGGGGCTGGGGTTAGATTTAAGCGATGAATGGTGGGAGAGGTGGGATGGAGGCGGCGTTTGCGAACGGACCCAGCAGTACTTTCCGACATGAGCACATAACTGCTACCTTGAGGTGAGGTGGGGTGTAGGAGCGTGTAGGAGCGATATGCTGCTTGTGAGTTGGAGGCGAAGCCTGAGAAGCTGGAGGTGAGGCCCACAAGGGCCATTGAGGGCAGAGAGGGTCCGCGAAATGCAGTACGGAACGGTACGGTACGGCAGATTGGGGTATGGTGCCGTGCCGTATACTGTGGCGCTGCGAGCTTACGACGTATTACTCACGCTCGGCCCTCGGGTCCCAGACGGTCGCTGCCGTACTTGTACGTCGCCAGGATGATGACTCCCGCGGGGTTGTAGTCCACGAGCCCCAGCGGCTGCAGCCGGGGCGGCGGGAAGGCGGCCGCCAGGCGGGAGGCGAAGGCGCGGGTGGCGAGGTCGGGGATGCCGCGAGCGGTCAGCAGCACACAGGGCACTGCGGCACAGAGATTTCGCAGGACGCAATGCGTCACGGAAGGGAGGAGGGAATGGAATGGAAGGCATCGCTTCGTCTGTTCGGAAACGGCCATCGTAGATCAATTGCAAAGGGTTGGGGCGTCTCGGGCGGAATGGCGGGGGAAGGGTTGGTGCATGGCCGAAAATGGAGGTGGTGGTGCATGGCGGATGAAGCCGGATGTGGGTCGTTGCGGGTGGTGGGAGGCGGATGTTGACCCAATCGTACATGGAACACGGTAATGAGAGGTGCGAGCTTGGCGGGGGGTTGAGCCGGCCCGGCCGGCGGGTCCGGCTGCGCATCGTAACCCAACGACCCCATCTGCTCCCTCCCACCTCTCTTGTCGCACCGTGTTTCCCCTTCATGCCACGACGATGAGCCCCCTTTAGCCCATTTCCTTCCTGACAACAACAAATGTGGCGGTGCACGGACCCCGAGTGCAGGGGCTTTAGGTCTGCAGCAGTGTACGAGGCATCTACCTGCCGTACCGCCTGCCGTACTCACGGTGGTCCCAGATGCGGTCCTCCGCCAGCCGTTGGAACACGGCGTCCTTCTCCACCACCAACAGATAGCAGCTGCCGCCACCGCCGCCGCCGCCACCGCCGCCACCGCCGCCACCGCCGTCAGCCGTCGCGGCGGCGGGCATCAGCTGCAGTCCGAAGCGGCCAATGGTGGCTAAGTCACCGGGCAGGGCACGGCCCGAGGGACCTGGCGCGCGCGGAAGGAAGGCGGGGGGCGGAGCGGAGCGAATTGGCGCCTTGCCTAACCAACTCATTCACGCCTTAGAACGCCTTGGGACGCCTTAGAACGCCTTAGGAGCGAAGCGCACGCAGACGCGATAGGCTGTCATGCCCGCGCGCGCGCCACTACCGCGCTGCTACCTGCGGTGCTGCAGTCGAGCCAGGGCGAGGCGGGGCCGTCCCGAATCGCCAGCCGGCCCGCCACCGCGCCGCGGCCGGCGCAGGTCACCCCAAGGCCGGCGCGCGGGACCCCCACCATCGCCGCCGCGTCCGCCAGAGCCGCGTTGACGTCACGAGGGGAGCAGAACAGCGGCGGCTTCAGGAGCTGCGGGCGGCGGCGGAGGCAGCGGAGGCGGCGGCGGCGGAGCGGGCGATCCGGAACCGACTGGGTTGATGGTTTGAGAGATTGAGACGCGGCTCAGAGCTCGGGGAAAGCGAGAGCGGAAGAATGTGTAGCAGTGGCGCAGAATATAGCTGCTACAATGCGGTACCATCGGTGTGGTGCTCTGTTTCGGGGAAGGAGTGCCGTTCCATACCGTACCGTTCCGTACCGTACCGTACCGTGTAGTACAGATCACGCTGCGTCGCCTGGCGTCCCTGTCGCAGCAGATTGTGGACAGCGTTGAGTACTGCCAGCACTGTACGGCAGTACGGGGCAGAAGGACCCGTCAGGCACACGAGCAAAAGGGGCGGGCAGGGGCCGGCGTTCAGGGCGAGATGGGGAGTAAGGGAGGGCGGGTGGGCGGTGATCAGACCATGTTGGGGGTTAAGGATCGACCCGCGGGTCGTCATCGCGAGCCGGAGGAACGGCCAAGGAGATTGTGGACGTGAAGCTGTGTGGGGAATGGACGATGAAGGTAGGTCACCAACTCAGGAGGCCCGGTTTGGGTTTGTTTGTTTTTGGCGTTTAGCTGCTTGGGAGGGGCGTGTGTCTGCAAGTTGGTTCAGCCGGATGCTGCGGCCGGCTGCTGCCCGAGGGACCTGTGATCGCGGCCCAAGCCCGTCCATGAGGACGAGGCCAGTTGCTCGGCAAGCCATGCCTTGCATGACTGATGCATATGTATGCATATGCTGTGTTGCAGCGGCAAGACGGCAAGCGGTGGGCTTGCGAGGTACAACGTTTGCCTAAGCGAATACGACAAACGTTTTGTGCTGCAAACGCGCGGCGAACTTTACCACGCGCATAAGGCAGAGCCGCGGCGCCTTGGTGGCTGATCAGAGAGCGTTGCGAGGCGCGCTCCTGCCCATCCTCTTCCTCGCTCCTCGCGTTTCGCGAGTTTCGAGAGGCCAGCTGCAGCGTTGGCACACGGCCCTCGGCTATCTCCGTTACGAGGCCCTCCACGGTGGTCTCAATTCGGGCCAGTACGCTGTTTGCATCCAGGCCAAAAGCCTCAGCAACCCGATCCTCCGGGGCGGGCGGCAAAATTTGCTGCTGGTCGGTCAGAGCTGCTGTGCCGGCCAGGGAGACACTGTCACCTGTCCAGCGCTGCATGTTTGCGGTACCGTATCTTCTTGCGGTATGGTCAGTCGCGCTTTGGGCACTTTGTGATTCCGTTTGAGTTGGAAAGGTCCAAAGACCGCCTGCTCCGGAACCAAGGCGAAGATAAATCGTTTCGGGAAGGTAGCCGACGAAGGCGCGCAGATGAATTGCTTTGCAAGCAGCCGTTGGCGGCAAGGAGGCCGTGCATCCTCAGCCCGCTGGCAGCTTGACCAAATCTGCAGCCGGCGCTCAGGGTCATCTTTTACGACGTGAACGACACTGAATGACACCTCTTACCACTTTGTAGATCTTTGGTCGGTCTTTTACAGCCGACCGTACAAACGTTTGCTGCTGTGCTATGGGCGCGACGACCTCATCAACGACATCGCGAGACACGGACATCACGTGAGGCGGCAAGGGGCACAGAGGCGGCAGGCGTCGTAAAAAACTCCAAACGTTTACACAGCGCCGTGAATCACGCGAACACCAGACCCTGCCGAGTCAGGCCTGGATCAACACAACCACGAGCCCACGGCCAAAGTTCCATCAACCGCAAACGGCTCCGAACGCCCCTGAGACCACCGCTATTGCGCCTGGGGCAGCCCGCTGCGCCGTGCTCCCCTCCCATCTCTTCGGGAAGGCGCTGCTGCGTGGCCGCACGCTTGCACGCCCTTCGCCCGCCTCCCCGTGCTCAAGACCCCTACGCCTCCTCTCCTACAAGACTCACATCATGCTCATCATGCCGACCGCGCGCCATACGATAGATGGAGATAAATGCGGGCCATTTGGGCCGCCAGTTTGTACCGTAGCACCAGGACCGTATACCGGTACTACATTTCAGTCTCATTCAAAAATACACCGCCGCAACAAGCAGTGTCAGGTAAGGCATGCACCGGCAATCCTCTGTGTCCACTGTAAAACGATTCTATTAAAGATTTCAAATGAATTAGAAGAATGCAACACCCACCCACCCACCCCCCGCGTGGCCCTTGTGCAGCAGCGGTGCTGCCTCAATTGTGGCACAGGTGCCCCGCTGATGAAGGGGGCGGGGCAGGGGGCAGGCGGCGCGAGGACCGCTGCACCGCTGCACCGCGCAACAAAGCGCCACCCCACTCGGTTCCTGCCGCCGACGCATCTGTTGTCCATGCCTGTACTAG